GAAGATGTGGTACATATACACAATGGAATATTACTCAGCCATAAGAAGAACACAAATCCTACCATTTGCAACAACATGGATGGAGCTAGAGAGTATTATGCTCAGTGAAATAAGCCAGGTGGAGAAAGACAAGTACCAAATGATTTCACTCATGTGTAGAGTATAAGAACAAAGAAAAAACAACTGAAGGAACCAAACAGCAGCAGACTTACAGAACCCAAGAATGGACTAACAGTTACCAAAGGGAAAGGGACTGTGGAGGATGGGTGGGAAGGGAGGGATAAGGGGAAAAAAAGGGGGGTGGGCATTACTGTTAGCAGACATAATATAGGAGGGGTCATGGGGAGGGTTGTACAACACAGAGAAGACAAGTAGTGATTCTACAACATCTTACTATGCTGATGGACCATGACTGTAATTGGGTATGTGGGGGGGACTTGGTGAAGGGGTGAGTCTAGTAAACATAATGTTCCTCATTTAATTGTAGATTAATGATACAAAAAAAATCAAACAAAAAGTCCAGGAGATGATGACCTACTGGTAAATTCTACCAAACATTTAAAGAATTAACACCAGTCCTCTTCAAACTCTTCCAAAAAATAGAAGAGAAGGGAACACTTCCAGAAGAATTAATATTGTTGAAATGTCCATACTATACAAATAGACAAATTTCATATGTGGAATCTAAGAAATAAAACAACCCACACTCATACACACAGAGAACAGACTGATGGTTGCCGGGATGGGCAAAACGGGTGGAGCTGGTCAAAAGGTACAAGCTCCCAGTTGTAAAATAAATAAGTCCTGGGGATGTAATGTCCAGCATGGTGACTATAGTTAATAATATCATATTGTGTATTTGAAGGTTGCTAAGAAGGTAGACCTTAAGGTCCCATCACAAGAAAATTAATTGTAACTATGTGTGGTGATGGATATTAACTACACTTACTGTGGTGACCAGTTTGCAATATACACAAATATTGTTATGTTTACATCTGAAACTAATATGTTATGCATCAGTTATACCACAATTTTTAAAAGGACGGAGATCCCAACACCTGCTCCAACATGCATGAACCTTGGGGACATGAGGCTGAGTGAGATGAGCCAGTCACAGGAGCACACACACTGTGATCCACTTACAGGAGGCCCTTGGAGGAGTCACATCCACAGGGACAGACAATGGGTGGTGGAGGCCAGGGGCTGGGGTGGGGGGTGGGGTGGAAGGATGCTCAGTGGGGACAGAGAGTCAGTGTGGGGAGAAGGACAGGCCTGGAGATGGTGGGGCTGCTGCACAGCAGTGTGATGTGCTTAATGCCCCTGAGCTGCATACTTTAAATGTACAACATTTACATTTTATATATATTTTACCAGCACAACAAAAAATTCTTTTTACCCCCCCAAACCAGGTGGGCTGCTGCCCTTGGGAGTGGAAGTGTCTGCCTAGCCCACTTCTCAGCCTTCTGCAAGCCACCTGCCTGCACAGGGGACCCTCTCCTAAGCCTGGTCAAATTCCTGAGATTCCTCCCCACCAAGGTGTTTCTGTTCTGGCCTACATCAATTTCTGAAAAGTCACCTCTGCCTTGAGGCCTTCCAGGGTTGAGTGAGGAGCTCCTGCTCCAAATTCATCCCCTTGACTTTGCAGGCAGACGCTCTAGTCCCCAGCCAAGCTGTGAGGATGGGTCCCGAGGTCACTGACACCCATACATCCCTGGATCCTGGCTCTGGAAAATACACCTGGAGCCACGGCATGTCCAATAGCACCTGTGTAGGGTCTGTACTGAGCCCAGACGGCCTCATTGGAGGGCCTCATCCAACTGCCCCAAAATTATCACCCACACCCCAACCCAAGAAAAGAGCCGAGACCCCAGGTCCTTCCAGAGCTTCAGGCCTGAGGCTCAAAGGTTAAACCCTGATATTGTTTTAATTAGGAGGCAGCTTGGAGGAAGTACAGAGATGCCTCCTCCTGCTGGCCCCAGCCCCCCAGGATGGAGATCCCCACCCTGAGCATCCACTCACCTACTGAGGCCTATATGAGAAAAATCCTTCTGGGGGCTGTTAGGGCCCCATGTTCAAAGGTGAGGAGCCCACTTCTGGGGCAGATAAAGGGGAGGGTCTGAGAACTGGTCCTGTCGGGGCTGAAGGACCCCCCAGACTGCCCCCTCTCCCAGGAGCCCTTGCAAGGCCAGCTGGCCAAGTCTTCCCAGGTGTACCCAAGGCCCCCAGGCCTGGGAGGCAGAGGTGGCCCGGGCCTGCTCTGCTGTCCTGAGCCGGTGCCATGAGGACCCTCACCCTAGCAATGCCTGGCTCCTGGCTGGCTGTGGCCAGAAAGAGCAGCCATGAGCCATCTGTTTGCTGGTATTTTGACACCGGCAGAATACAGTTACCCCACACATACCCTGTCAATGCCAGAATGGCCCCTAGTCACCCCTCTGGGCCACAGTGGGCATGGGAGACCTTGGCAGTACCCCATAGGGGCACAGGACATGGACAGACCAGGTGCACTTCAGCACAGATGCAGACCATGGGCAGGCATGCCATGGGGTCATAAGTGGGGAGGCAGGGTTGCGGGCCTTGGCCCCCAGCAGCCCTGGAGCAGGGAGAAGGCCCGAAAGGCACCATGGGCAGGGCTGGGGCCTCAGAAGACCTGGTCTGCCTCTGAGGCACCAGGTCCCCTAAGATGGCTCAAGTTCTCAAGGTCTCAGTTTCCCTAGCTGTAAAATGGGCAATCAGCCACAGTGTGCCTGATCCACAGGACTACCAGACAGGCAAGGACCAATTCTAAAAACCAGAGGCTTGGTGCAGTGCTAGGAGGGCTGGGCTGGCAAGAGCCAACAGCTCCAGGGCCCAGCATGCCTGCCTCAGAGCAGTGGTGTCTGGACTGGGTGGGGTGGGTGCGCCTAGCATGGCAGCACCCACTTCAAGGGGGCAGCACCACAGGGCCCAACATGACAAAGCAGGTGGGGGGTCAGGCAGAGGAGCCTAGAAGGCAGCTCTTGGTCCAAAGAAGCTGCTTCTGGGCAGTGTAGCCAGGAAGGAGAGGGACAGGACCGGCTCTCCCAGCCCTCAGCCAAAGCCTGAGAGCTGAGCTTGCTGACTGCCCTTTCTCCCCTGGCCTCTCCCTGGCACAGCCAGCTTTCCCCCACAAGTGGAAATACAGCTCTGGGCAAGGGAGGTGGCAAGTCTGGAGCAAGCTGGCTCAGCTGCAGGATCATGCACAGCGGGGACAGTGACGTGGCCCCCACTGCACTGTCTGGTGGGCCCTGCAATGCCCAGAAGGTGGGGAACAGGCCACCTCAGCCAGAGAAGCAGTCACTGCCTTGCCTGGGACATGCAAGCTTCTGGTGTGGCCTCTCCACGGACCTGGGGTGGGGCTGCCAGAGACCCCTCCCAGTCCACCGGGTGGGCGACAGGCAACAGCAAAGAACTGCAAAATAGGGGTGCCCAGAGGCTGCATGAGGTGCCTCCATGGTGCATCAGGTTTGCTCTGAGGGGCCCCCAGTGGAGCATCTGGTGTCCCCCTGGAGTGCCTGGGGACAGCCCCTGAGTGAGGCCACCCTCTACCCTGGGGGGCATGAGCAGGTGAACCTCATGACTGTTCCTACACAGACCCCGCCCCCACCCCACAGGGGACCAGCCCAGGGCTGCCCATTCAGGAGCAGCATCCTGCTGGTCCGCGCACAGCCTCTCCTCTTCCTGCCAACCCAGGGAGAGGAGCTCCAGGAAGAGCAGGGAAGAACCCCAGGACTCCGGCGCCTTGTCACCCCAGGCGGGGCCGCCCAGGAACAAAGTCCAGGAGATGCCTGCTGGGACAGTGGGTGCTGCTGGGACGGTGGGTGCTGGTGGGATGGAAGCCTTTTCCACGCCGCACCTGCCCCGCGCCCCACCCGGCTGGACACCTGCCGCAGATCCGCTAGGTGGCGGGGCCGGGGCGCCTTCCCCAGTGGTCCACGTGGAGGCGGCAGGGGCTTCCTACCCCCGCTCTCGCGCCCTGCAAGAGGGCGGCTCCGGTGGGGGCCCATGACGTCATCCCCAGATGGCGGGGAACCAGGCGGACCCCCATGCCCAGGCCCAGAGGACGCGGGCCGACTCTCCCTTTCTCTCCCTGCAGCCTGCCGCCCGCTGCCCGCCGCGATTTCCCCTTTCTCAGCGGAGCCGAGGTTTCGCAACGCGACGGCGGTCCGCGGGTGACAGCGAGACACGCAACCCAGGGGGAGGGGAGGAGGCGACATAGCCACAGGCCCAGGGCCGCGGGGAGGGACGTGCAGGTCCTTGCAGGTGCGCCCCGGGCCCGCGCCGCCGGCCGCGCAGGCGCTGCAGCAGCCCTCCGAGTCCGCGGGGCTAGCCCCCAGGCCGGCGCCAGCCTCGCTACCCACCCCGGCAGCATCCACCGGGCCCCGCATCCCCCACCCCGGCCGCATCCACCGGGCCCCGCACCCACCCCGGACCCTCACCTACTCGGCCGCATCCACCGGGGCCCCACCCACCCCGGGGGCACCCGCCCGGGCCCGCACCTACCCGGGGCGCCGCAGTCCGCGCAGCGCGAGTTCCCCGGCCGTTGGAGCAGCTCCAGGACGGCCCTCCGCCGCTCCTTGGCCATGGCTGCGATGCCGCCCGCCCGCGGGGCCGGGGCCGGGACCCGGGCCCGGGTCGCGAGCGTCTGCCCCTCTGAGCTAGGGCCCCGCGCAGCCCGCCCGCCGCCGCCGCCCCTGCGCCATCCTGGGCGGCCTCAGCCCGCGCGCCGGTTCCGCATTCCTGCCGCCCGGCCCGGCTCCGCCGCCGCCGCCCGTGTCGCCGCCGCGGCCGCCGAGCGTGTGCCGGCGCGGGGCCCGGGGCGCACGGCGCGCTCTGGCCGGCACGGCCCGCGGGCGGCCCCCAGCGGCGCGGGCGGGTGAGCGGCCTCCTTCCGCGGCGCCCGGCCCCCAGCCCGCGCACCCTGGGACGCGTCCAGGAGGCCTCCCCGCCGCCCACCCATCCAAGCGCAATGCCACCAGACACACTGGGGGGTTCTTGAGCGAGCCAAGTAGCTGCCGGCTTGGTGGGATCCTGCGTGCAGTCCTTCGGCCGGGAGCAGATGGGACACCTGGGGAGGTGAGGACGGCAGCGCCTTGCCCAGTGGTCCTGCTAGGAAGGCTGGCCAAAGGAGGGGGCGTGTGCCAGGTGCTGGCGACCAGGGCTCACACCATCCTTGTCCTGGGAGGAGACAGCGGTGACAAGCCTGTGTCCTGGGCACTCAGGCGGCCCCCCTCCCACCATCCTTGGCAGGGACAGGACAGGGTGGAGCTCAGTTGCCCTGGATAAAGCCCTCCTGCATCAGGAGGCATTGGAACCAGGCAGGAGGGTGACATGAGGAGGCGTGGAGGTGGCCAATAGCAAGGATGTGCCCTCTGCACACATCTGCATTTTCAAGCCCTCTTCCATTTTCTTTATGAATTATGGATGCAGCCGTACATCCCATTAAACACACAATGTAATGGTACTGACTGAAGAATGGCTGTCACCCCCCCACCCACCAGGGTGTCCTGCATGGTGGCCCCCTGCCTGTTCCTCCTCATCTGCCCCTGGGCTTTTCGTGGCTTGGCTGGTTGTTTCCACTCACTAAACCTCACACACCCTCCACGTTCCTCCCTGTTTGGTGGCTGTGCTCTGGTGGAGGCAGTGGGACCATGGCTTGTTCACAGCCACTGGCTGAGGCCCATCAGAATCTCAGCTGCCGCCTTGCGAGTGTGTGGGGGACTTCCAGCAGCAGCGACGCCAGGCGCTGGGCGGTGACGGACCCCGCCAGCTTGCCCTCCGGGGAGGCTGCACAAGCTGTGTTTCACTGGCTCAGGAGCTTCCATCTTTCAGGCAGAATGTGGCAACTACCTCGAGGTGCACTTCTTACCACAAGTCCTGTGCACTGCGTGGCTTGACTGGCCACAGGCTGGAGCCTTGTGGGTAGACAGGTGGTGTTTTTGATCTCCGGGACCCATGCCGGGGTTAGAATCTGCCCCACAGTATTCGTGTGAGAATGTCACTTAGCAGAGTAATGGCAGTAACGACCTACAGCCAGAGGAGATCCCGTGAGCCTTTGGTCAGGCCCCTTCCCTGTACTTCTCCACCTGACCCTCACTTTACAGATGAGGGAAGGGAGCAGCTCCATCACTTGTCAAGGCCACACCTGGCTTATGCATTGCAGGACTGGGATAAACGAACCCCTATAAAAAGAGCCACACCCCGTAGGAGGGCAGGTTATCCAAGGGCCCGGAAAGGCCTCGGAGGAAGAGTGGGCAGAACAGCAGGGGCTTCCATCAGCGGGACCACCCTGTTTGTTGGGGACCTTTGCCTTCTCTGTCTTCCCGTCTGACTGAGGAGGCAATGACATTGTCCAGGATGGAGGTGAGAGTAAGGATTCGAGGACAGACATGTCAGGCCAGAAGGGTGTTCTCCGAGGAGGAGAGCTGTGAGATTGAAGCCCATGGCCCACACCCCCTGCCCCCTGGCCCGGCTTCTGGGTGGCAGTGCAGCCATCCTGGGGTCCCTGTTGGGCCCACTGGCTGTGGCCAGGGCTGGAGTGTATGCGCACAGGACTCACACCGAATCCAGAAGGTGACAGTAGAGCCCAGGATGGGCTAGATTCAGACCAGGGCTGGCCAAGGGCCACTCAGGCTCGAGGGTCTGGTGAGGGGGCTGTACCAGTGTTCCTCCAGCTCCTGCTCACTACCACCAGCCAGCAGGCCCTGCAGGCCTCTGTGCCTCCTGTCCCCCTGCCCTCTCATTCCCCTCTGTTAGCTGTCGCTGGTCTGAGGGCTGAACCTAAGGCTCCCAACCCAATCACTCTACCATCTTCTGAGCCTGAGCAGGGGCTAAACAGGGCCTAGGGCCCACCCACCATGACACTCAGCTATGCAGAGCAGACCTGGGTGCTGAGCTCCTTGAAGGCAAGGTCAGTCTTCTCTGGCTCCCCTCCGAGAGTCTGAAAAGCTGGTCCACAGGTAGATGGATGGGTAACCGGTCCCCTGGGCCTGCAGCTGCCTGTGGGGAGGCACCTCAGCACAGGCCAGGCTGACCCTCCCCAGTGGAGGCATGAAATGGACTGAGGCTTTTGGGCCAGAGCCAGGCCTGGGCCTGTGGAGGATGTGGGCCTGCCCTCAGCCTGGCGCCTGGCCTCTCTAGCAGAGTAGCCACTTTCCAAGGGCCACTGACAAGGACACTGCCAGGCTCCCTTCCCTGTTGACACACAGCTTGTTACCACTTCCCTCTTGAAGCTCTCCCAGACTGCCCAGGCAGAATCCCCCAGATAAGGAGACAACCCCGAGGATGCCAGTGGAGCTTCCAGCCCCCAGCCCAGAGCCTTGAGATGGCCAGGCCCAGAGCCTGGTGCCCACGTGCCCTTGAGGAGAACATAAAAAAGTGTTTCATTTGTCAACCAGATGGCGTCCTGCCAGCTGGATTTCTAAACCTTCCCAAGCAAGCACCAATGTGACCACCAAGAAACTGCTGGGGCAGCCCCAGTAGGGTGCAGGCAACCAACCTCCTGGTGAAGTGAGCATGAGAAAAGCTGGGCTTCCCTCCAGGCTCAGAGATCCCGTCCTGGGCAGCCTGATGCTGGGATGCCAGCCTCATAGGACACATGCTCAGCTGGCCCTCTCGTCGGGGCCGTGCCGCTGGGGGGAAGACGGCAGGGCACTCTGGGCATGAAGTCCAGGCCTGTCACCGTCCCACACTGAAGAGCAGCCCCGGGCTTCCCAGGGGACCCAGGATGTAGTGTGGGCAGAGACTTCAGCCCCCCAGGGAGCCAGGCTGCTCTCCGAAGGGGCAGGCACACTCTGCTGAGGCTATGGTGCGGCCAGGATGGGAAACTGACGCTGGGAGGTGAAAGTAGATGGGGCTCAAGGGCAGAGGCCCAGCCGTGGCACCTCCCAGCAGGCAGTGAGGTTTGCTCCAGGGCAAGGGAGCCACGCCAGGTGCCAGCTGGAGGCGGGGGCCCCAGGGCAGGGGACTGGACTGCTCTCGCTGCCCCAGGCTCCCCCCAGCCCCAGGCCTGCAAGGTCACAGCTCCCCATGGGATCATACCTCCTCCCTCCTCCCTGGGAGGGCAGGGCCAGGGGAGATGCCCTCTCTGCCACCTCCTTCTAGCTGGTGGGTTCCACACACTTCTGTTCCTTCAACAAATGGCTGAATGAGCACCTACTGTGCACCATGCCCTGCAGTCACCAGAGTTGGACAGAGCAGGGAGGAAGGCCACCAATGTGTTGGGGAGCACGGGGCAGGGGTGGCTGAGCTGGGGGTCACAGGGCAGCCCTGTTGCAGGCACCACCCCTGAGCAGAGACACCAGGAGGAGTCCCAGTATTTCCGGCCGAGTGTAGGGCCCTGAAGCTATGGGGAGGCACAACCGGGTCTGGAGGGGCTGGGGCAGGAGAGTGACCACCTCTGCCCTCAGGAGCCTCCCAAGGGACAGGGTGGGCAGACCCAGGACTCGGGCTCTGTGTCCGCAAAGAATGCAGGAGAGGGCCAGAGATGCAGCAGGGGCAGTCCACAGTGCAGAGGGCCTGAAGGGGGGTCGCGGGAAGGGGCAGGTGGGAGTCCGGAGGCAGGACAGAGGGCTGTGGGGGCTCCTGGCAGGCGAGGAGGAAAAGCCAGCTCTGAGAGAAGGGCTTGGTGTGCTTGGGCACCCCCGGTGGGGTGTGGGCCACCAACCTCCTGCCACCATCAGCTCTTTGCCTGACACCTGCTGTCTCCAAATCCTGAGGGCATTCTGTGTACATAGAGGTGGCATCCCGCCTGGGACAGGGGAGGGTCAACCCCAGCCCAGAGAAGGGGCCAGTGTGAACCCAATGCCCCCCACCTATGACCCACACAGCCCCAGCACACGCGTGCTTGGCAAAGGCTCAGAAAAACTCTCAGGCCTGGCTATCTGGGAAGCTGGGCCCTTCTGTTCCCGGAGCTGGCACTGACCCAGGCCCTTCTCCTTGGCAGCTCGGAGGAGCCTGCCATCTAAGACGGGGAGCAGATGGGGGCACCTGGGGTTGCCCAGCAGAGGGTGCCCCCTGCCCCACCAGCACCTGCATGGCAGGATACCTTCGCCTTAGAGACCGAATCAGCCTTGACCCCAGCACGGGGCAGGGAGTGGGCACTGCCTAACTGAACCAGGCCCTACCCTCAAGCCCTTCCCCAACACAACTTAGCTAGGGCTGAGCAACCTCAGGGTTCTGGAGTGGCGCTGGGCAAGGTGGGAGCAGAGCAGGAGCCAGGCCCAGGCCCACCAGCTCCAGCCCAGAACCATCCTGGGCCTCCCACCCTCCGGCTCTCACCAGGGAGGGCCAAGGCCATGTCCTCTGCCTTCGCCCTCCATCCTCCCAGGGCTGCTCTGGGCCGGACGCCAGAGCGACCCCTACAGGTGTTCCAGGAGCAGGGGAGTGGGCGTCAGTGCCTGAGTCGGCCCTCGTGTATGCCCAACTGCCAGTGTGGGAAAGCGCAGGGAAGGCCAAGTTAAGGTGCGGGATCCTAGGGAGCCGGCCCCCAGGAGGGTGGAGACAGCAGGGTAGGGATAGGTTAGGCTGGGGACAGTTTCTGTTTCAAAGTAGAGTCCTCACCCAGGGCCACCCCACAGCCTCAGCAGCTGGCCAACCCCTCCTCACCCCCACAAAAGACCATTTTCTCCTCCCCAAGAGCATGCAGGGAATCCAAAGGGAAGACGACTTGGGCAGCAGCCTTGCTTGGCACCCTATCCCGAAGCCCTGCAGGCAGCCTCGGGAGGCAGGCGCGGAGCAGGCTGTGCCCTGTCTGGGCCCAGGGGCCGGGCTCTCTCCCTGGGAGAGTGACTGCCAGGAGCAGCAGGCAGACAGGGGCAGTGAGCAGCACAGCACCGGAGGCCCAGGGCAGCCACCTCCCTAGGGCCTAGTGCAACCAGCAGGGATGTCTGGCTGCCACTTCCAGTCTCTCCCGCAGGTGTGCAGGGACATGCACAAGGCTGGCTGTGGCTGCTGGGGTTCACTGTTCCCCTGGGCCCCGTCAGCAATGACACCAAGCAGAGGTTTGAACTGAACTCAAAGAAACTCACTCTTGAATAACTCTTACAAACCAATGAAAAAGGACAAGTGACGCAACTGAGCAGCAGGTGAGGGGCCTGGGCAGACGCTGCTACGGACATGTAGATGGTTGACACACAGGTGGCCGCCATCGGTCACAAAGCG